CTGATGTATTTGTGGGGAGGAAGGTGGTCTCCACGTCTTACTCCTCCGCCATCTTGAAGGTCTCCCCCTAGCCAAGTATTTTTAAATGACTAAACAGACATTAGTTCCCTAAGTGAAAAGTAATCATTTAGTATCAAAAATAAACATATGATTTAAAATATTAATCTTGCTTGTGTTTATAATCTATGAGAAGCTGCACTTATTCATCTTTGTCCTCTCTGTAACCCAGGAGAATTTTCACTAAGACTTATGACCTTAGGGATTCTCACTGATTTTCTTCAATGTATACTTTTCATGTCTTCTATCTCAGCTGGAGATAAATGAGTGAATTAGTAAATCTTTGCAAAATATTTATGTTCTTTAACACTCAATTAAGATTTAGAGAAAATATAGGAGCTACAGTTCTATTAAGAGCAAAGTAGTTTAGAAAAAGTATTATTTCCGTAAAACTAAATCTATCTATAGATGTATTTTCCTTACTAATATATTTGGTAGGAAAAAAACAACACCATGAACTTCAAGTCCATTTCCCACTAGTGTCTTCATTTTTATATTTTATTACATTCTGCAGTGGTTCTGCAACCAGCTATATCAAGAATTTTTAAGAGGAATGTAAACAAGGACTTTGCAGTGACTTGGCTGAAACACATCATATAACTGGGAGCAAAAATCTCTACTGAGCTATCCCAAGATGAATGGTTGAGCTACATTCCAAATCTCTGCCAAGTTCCTTCTGGCAAGCACATTAGGAAATGAAATCTCTCCACCAGAGGGAACCAGGAAGAGATTCATCTATCTTTAGGAAAACATCAACTCCATCCGCATAATAAACTAAATGGTTTTGTTATCATCTTGTGTATATATGTAATGAGAACATTTTGAGATATTAGCCAAGTTTATTTTTTCTGTGAGCTGTGACCTTGTAGCCCTCCCCCGAACTCATGCTATGATACTGCTTCCAGAAAGGAATAACTCAAAAGGACACAAGGGTCAACTTCTCTCATTTATTCATCCATTATTTTGTTCAACAAATTTTTATTGAGCACCATCTATGTGCAAGACACTGTCCTAAGTGCTGAAAATAATCCTTGTCTCCATAGACCTCTATATTCTAGTGGAGGGAAGTCAATGAACAAACAATTGATTTTTGTTTTGTTTTTTAAGGAGCAACTGATGAAAATGCTGTGAACAATAAAAACAGTTGGTGGGATAAAGAAGGACAGAAGGACAGGAGGAAGGCTCAGCTCCTGAGCTTCAAAAGACTTGGTCCAGGTATAAAAAAATTTAGAAGCAATAGTCAGCCAGGTGCTATTTTTTCTGGCCACTAGATGAGATGCAGTTTTCTCAGGCAAGACGAAGGAGAAAGAAAGATTTCAGAGGAGATAGAGAGAACTCGAAGCTGGTGGGTACCTGAGACCCCACTGTCCTTCCTGTCTCCCAAAGGACACATAGGCTTGGGACCTTGACCTCCTTCATGGAAGCGTCCAGATAGGTCCTAGGAAAGCATAGGCCCTCAGATTTGAATGACTTGTGTCAGCACAGTGAGGGTGGAGCAAAATAGGATCGTTACTCAGATAGGAGGTAGGTCCAGCAACCTGCTGGAAGAGGGGCAGTGTTTTTCTATAGGCCATGCTCACCAAGGATTTGCACTAAGAGCCAGAGGATCCAGAAGAAAGATGATCTGAATAAATCAATGCACAAAAAGCAGGCAGGAATGAGCGTCCCCAGCAGAGGGTGATATGAATTGATGATGGAGACAGCCAGACCCCCTCTGACCCCCACCGGGGAGAGACATGTTCTAAAGCTCCTTGGAAATGAAGCTGGACCCCATACAAACTGTGGAAGGTAGGGAGAAGGGTTGCTAAATTAACTTAAAGATTTTGCTGCCTGGTAGAATTAAGTCTTGTAATAAGAATTAAATTCCATTATAGAAAAATAAATTAAGTTACATTTCCTGCACTCAGATATCTGTGGCTTTTGATTTGCACCCATGAGGCATTATGTTATTAAAAAAAAAGAAAACAAAAAAAACAGATGGTCAAATCTATTCCCAAATCCAAGTGCAGATAATACAAAAGTGAGAAAGGAGAAGAGCTAGAGAATTGGACAGGGAGACTCTGCAATAGAGCATCGCTTCACTCCCTGCAACAAGAACTGCCCCAGGGTCGGAGCTCGCACGTCAGTTCCCTTTATTTAGGGAGTTGGAAGGTGGAGGCTCAGCCCACATTTTGCAGCTGCAAACTGATTGAATAGCCCTTTTCTAAATTAAGTCAAATGCAACCATCTGCTCACCTGAAATGCCTATGGTTCCAGGTAACAAGGTTCATCAGGCTTCTCTAAGAACGGATTATTATGATCAGAAAAAATATGATCTGTATTCTGTTAAGCCCGTGACATGCCTGTCAGCATACCAAGCGTTGCATAGAGTCAAGCTTAGGAGGCAGGAGGTAAACAAATAATATGTGTGTTACGTCATGTAACCATTCATGTAAAATGTATATCAGATGCTTGTGCTCGTCACCAGAAAATAACAATATTAATAAATAAAATAATAACATTATTATTAAAATAACATAATAATATTTAAAATAATAAATTTTTATTAAAAAGAAAAAGCTAAGGTAAAGTTTTTTTTAATCTGAGATCAAGGACAAGGTTTTTGTTTCTGAGCCCCAGAGTGATGAGGCAGTGGTGCTGCTAACTACTTCATTTTTAGTCCTAACATTCTGTTGTGAATCCTTGGCACAGAGAATGGTTCAGAAGAAAGGGGTAACGTGGGGGAAAGAATGAGGGCAACAACCTACTATAAAGCACAGGGAACTCTACTCAATGCCCTGTGGTAACCTAAATGGGAAGGAAATCCAAAAAAGGGGATGTATGTATACATATGGCTGATCCACTTTGCTGTACAGTATAAAGTAATACAATGTTGTAAAGCAACTATACTCCAATAAAAATTAAAAAAAGAAAAAAAAAGAATGAGGGCAACAGTGATGCCAAGGTCAAGCTTAAGAAACTAACAGGCAGGACCAAATGTCTGGGGACAGACAGTCAGCCGACTACCCCAGTCAGCTCTCTCCCAGACACAGGTATGAGCCTCTGCCTTTGAGCCTTCAGCCCCATCATGCTGCATCCACACACAAGTTCCCATTCAGTAACCACCAAGGTCCCTCCTGTTCTCAAATTTAAATAGATTGGTGCAGCGCCCAGAGGGCCCTGGGATTCACAAAGCCCCAGACAAGACTGTGGGTTGACTCACAGTGAAGAATATATTGATACATCAGTGAAAACAGTGAAGTCCTCCAAATCCTGATAGAATCAACTACTATGAGAATCGTTACAGATCAACAGTTTGAGGGAAAGTATTTCAAATCAGCAGGCTTCTTTCCTACAAGCAAAATTTCATTAAAAATTAACTGTGAACAGAGTAAGCCCAATATTTGATTCACATAAAAATCTCTATAGTAGGAAAAAAAATAAAAATCTCTACAGTAGGGATGCAACACGATGCTGGGCACCATTTCACAATGTGGTGGGGAAGGGGAGCAGGGCAACTACTCAACTCCTGCTATCCTCACCCTCAAAAAAATTGCTTCTCTATTCAGCAAGAAATTGAGGCAATTTGTCTTTACTAGGTAAACAATACTGTGGTCCTCCATCACCACCATCATCATGTTTATTTCACCTCCTTCCCACCAGAGTCAGAGAAAAAGGCACATCTCTTCAGGGCACTTGTGCATTTCATCTCTTCCATGGCCCCCTTCTCCAGAGCCCTGGTCCATCAGTGCTCCCTTGTCTCATCTGTACCTTCCATCTCTTCATCTTTTTTTTTTTTTTTGCGGTACGCAGGCCTCTCACTGTTGTGGCCTCTCCCGTTGCGGAGCACAGGCTCCGGACGTGCAGCCTCAGCAGCCATGGCTCACGGGCCCAGCCGCTCCGTGGCATCTGGGATCTTCCCGGACCGGGGCACGAACCCGTGTCCCCTGCATCGGCAGGCAGACTCTCAACCACTGTGCCACCAGGGAAGCCCCATCTCTTCATCTTTACTAGCTCTTTTCCATCATCATCTAAGAGTTCAAGTTCCTCCATTCCGTGGAAAAGAAGAATTCATGAAAACAACTTTAAACATACCACTAAACTAAAACCAGAGAAATAATTGGAAAGAAAAGTGAGCCTATCATATAATGTCTCCAGCAACAACTATGAAAGTTGTTAGCAAGTGTTTAGACCTTCCAACTTTTGATTACATACCACATTTTAGGTTGATGTACAAAATTTTTTTATTGTTAGTTTAAATGGTTGCAAAGGATAGAATTCCTGGGATCATATTTAAATTGTGATATTTTAAAACAAAACTGTTGACTTAAGTATCAGAGCAATTGATGTTTCCCATCACTCATTTTCAAAATACGGGAATAAGCTCTTTTGTAAAAGTCACAAATTGTACATTATTCCCTTTCTCCTTGAAATCATGTTTTTATTTCATTTTCCCACACAATTTACCATAAGATGATATATATTTCTGTCTGAATGTCTTTTATTGCTCACTCAACCATTAACAATCAAACACGTGTAGATAATTTTAGACTTATATAGTGTTTAACTCATTGTGCTCATATAGTTCTGAGTTAAAATTTGAGGGATGAATGTTTCAGGTTCAATAATATTATTATTAGTCCACAACTGATCAAACAACATAGTAAGATTGTTTAATATGCAATGAAAAGTAAAATTTGGGGGAAAGACATTTCTTCATAAAGTAGATAGGCGAGGTTCTGGTGCCTGGATTAAAAGAAACTTCTCTGACACCAATATAGTACTTTGAATTGTCATATTGCTTGGCCTTACTGAAGTTTTTTCATCACGAACAAGGTCACATAGAAAGAATTATCATCTGATAGAGACACGCTGTTCTTTTTTTTTTTCCTTTTTTTTCCAGCTTTATTGAGATTGACAGTTGACACATAACATTGTGGAAGTTTAAGGTGTACAATGTGTTGATTCGATATATTTATATGTTGCAAAATGATCACCACCAACCAAGCTATTCTTTATAAAGCAGCAAAAAGGAAATGTGAAAGGAGAGGTGGGAGAGGGCTGGGCACCTTCAAGAACATGTGCAGAGGCAGATCATTTTCCTAGAAAAAGAATATTTAAAGTTGAGGGTCTAGAATCTGAATCCATTAAAAAGCCTCCAAGATTCCACCCTAGCCTTGGAAAGCGGGCTCTTACCACACGAGGCAGACACACGCCAGCTTGAACATCACTACGTGAGATTACGGCTTCTCCATTGCCCAAATGACACTTCTTCTGCTATTTTCCTTTGATGCTTCCTTTGCTAAGCTCTGCGGAAAGGGGGAATAATATACGGCAAAAACACAAATGTTTTCCACCATTAGTGGAAATGGAATAAATTATACCGGTCAGGCTGTATAAGATTTGGCATGACACTTTCCCAGTGTTAATCCCACAATTTGCAATCTTAAGAGAAGTGATATTTAAAAGGTCACATCTTTAGTTCATTCACGGGCACACCCCCCTCTATTGCTGCTGGGAGCACACCTGCATGTAACTATTAAAGTTCTGATGGCAAAAGTGTCTGCTGCAAATGGAGAACCATTCTTTGGGGGCAGGAAAAGCAGGCCAATGGAAGCATCATTTGAGGTCACTGTAACATTGTTTATAATTACAAGGGACAAATGCAGAGATACGACTGCTCGCTCGCAATACAGGGAGCAATGGAAACATGTAGAGGCAAGAATTTTAAAGATTACAGTAAAACATCTCGAATGGTCTCCTTCCTCTACAGGGATATAGGACAGGGGCCAAGAAAACATGGCAGGCCATTGCTCCAATTTAGAAAAACCTTGTGAAGGGTTAAAATCTGGGGCAAGTTGTCTCAGTCTAAACCTGCAGGTAAATCATGCTGTCTTTTGTTTCACATAGAGATACTAGGAGCAATTGGAAATTAACACTTTGAGTTATCTTCCAAACATCTGTTCAGGACCCATTTGGGAATCTTCTTCAAATTCAGATTACTGGGCCCAACCAGTTGTGTGAGTGTGTGTGTGTGTGTGTGTGTGTTCTTTTTCAGATTATTTTCCATTATAGTTTATTATAAGATACTGAATATAGTTCCCTTGCTATACAGTAGTTCTTTGTTGTTTATGTTGTTTATATATAGTAGTGTATATCTGCTAATCCCCAAACCCCTAATTTAACAGCTATGTATATTTATATTATATATATTATATATGTATATTTATATAAAAAAACTGAATCACTTTGCTGTACACCTGGAACTAACACATTGTAAATCAACTGTACTTCAATTAAAAAAATTTTTTTAAGCAATTCAGGCTTTGAGGACCAATGACTTCGAAAGTCAGGCTTACAAAAGAAAATGTAAACCTACAAGATTTCTAGCTCAGGAGTCCTAAACATTTTATTGTGCTACTGTACTTACTTTTATATTATATGCACGTTCATTGTGCTACTAATATTTTAACAACAAAAAAAGTAGAAAAATATAAAGAATGAGATTTTTTAAAGTGTAAATCCTAATATTTTCTTCCCACACTCAAATCGATCATCTGACCAAGCGTGGTCAAAGGAGAGGGGAAATTTTTTTTTTTTTTTTTTTTTTTTTTTGCGGTACGCGGGCCTATCACTGTTGTGGCCTCTCCCTTTGCGGAACACAGGCTCCGGACGCACAGGCTCAGCGGCCATGGCTCACGGGCCCAGCCGCTCCGCGGCATGTGGGATCTTCCCGGACCGGGGCACGAACCCGCGTCCTCTGCATCGGCAGGCGGACTCTCAACCACTGCGCCACCAGGGAAGCCCGAGAGGGGAAATTTTTAAATGGAGGTTATCGTTTATAATTCCTCTTAGCTTCTCTGGGCTTTAATTTATTTCAATCGTTTTCACAGCTTTCTTAGATGTCTGGATAGACTTTCAACTCATTATGAAAAAAATATTACTGAAAATGTGGAAGAGCTATCCTCTTAGGAATTGCTGGGAAGGCAGATTTTTGTGGATTCCTTAAAAGAAAGATGTTGGATTGAGATCCTGATCGTTATAGGTCAGGCTAACACTTTTGAGATGTTAAAAGATTTTTTTTTCCCCCTCCAGTGTTTTTCCCTTTTCTTTCCAAAACTCTCAGCATGTTGCTCCACCCCACGCCATTTCAAATGGAAGTTCTGTTTGCATGAGCTCAGAAGCTCAGAGCTTTTGGCTTCCTAAAGCCTGATGCCCAAATGGAAGCAAAAGCCCTTCAGAATTGATGCTAAAGGCACTGTAAACTGACGGAAGGGAACCCCTGGCAGAAACACGCCTGAAGAAGAAGGCTTTCTCTCCAAAGACCAGAAAGCAATACTTCTAGACTAGGGAAGTGAGGGGACATAAATAAAAAGAGAGTTGGGGATCCTTGGTGAAAGGGCCAGACACAGATAGGCCAGGTGAGCAGGAGGAAGGGATGCAAGGGGCTTTGCTTGACCCGCAGAAGTTTTAGGAGAGCCGAGTGATCCCCTTCTGTAGACCCTACAGCCATCACTCGCTAAACATCGTCTGCAACCAAGGACAGTGCCACCCGCATCCTGTGACAACCTCGCTCTCCAGCAGCCCATCCACCTCTGATGGTCACGCAGCAGGAGGGGTACCCCATCCCCACATAAAACGTTGCTCACACTCTGTTTGTTCAGCCAAAAAAAAATAGAGACTACCCCTGAGATCAGCATACTGATAAAGAAGCTGCTGTATAGAAGCTGCTCCAAGACCCCTGGAACTGAGACAGGTTGGAAACACTGCAGGCTTTTGCAAACACACATATTCCCTGCACAGTCTTCATTCCTTTTCTTCTGCGGTGGGCAGGAAACTGGCAGTCAGTTTCTAAATATATCAACTAACACTTCTAACTCTCCCCCTTCTTGCAGGTATGTCCTCACTGACACCAAAAACAATGCTGGAGAGAGAATGAAATCGTGTACAGTGATCTAAACAGGCTTTGGAAACCATGAAATTCAAACTATGACATAGGTCATCATCAATAAGCTAAGACACCAAGATAATTTGGTGACACATAAGCAAGAAAGCTGGAGTTACCCATTGTGATGGTTCATTTTATACATCAATTTGGAGGGTGTTTTTGGATGACATCAACATTTAAATGGATGAACTTTGGGTAAATCACGTTACCCTCCATAGCGTGAGTGAGCCTCATCCAATCACCTGAAGGGCAAATGGAACAAGAGAGTGGCCTCCCTGGGCAGAGGCAAATTCTCCAGCCGATTGTCTTCTGACTGGCCCTGCACCGTTGGTTTCCCTGAATCTTGACCTGCCAGCCCACACTGGAGATTTTGGACTTCCCAGCCTCCATAAGTGCATGAACCGGTTCCTTATAATAAATCTCTTTGGATAGATACATAGGTAACATATAATATCTGTATATATGTTATTAAATGGTAACACAATATGTATAACATTATATGATAACATAATATACAGAACATGTGTTATAATATAGGTTCTGATTCTCTGGGGAACCCTCAGTAATACACCCATATTTTCTTTTTCTGCATTCCCCACAACCAAGTTTATGAATTCTACCTCTGATACTTGAGTATAATAAAAAATATATTTATTTTGTCTTTGCCCCCATTTCTAGCACAGATTTCCTAAAACACTTGAAATTTCCTGAGCAATAGTGGGTTTTTTTATTCATAACGAGCCCTTTCAACCATACCTGGGTTTATGCTAATGAGGTGACTGGTGGCAGGAACCTTACACAGCTTCAGGATGACGGCTGGTCACCAGAGGAACCAAGCATGTGATCAGAAGGTTGGAACTTTCTCACTACTCCCACCTCTGGGGAAAGAAATGAGGCTGGAGATTGAGTTCAATCACCAATGGCCAATGATTTAATCAATCATGTCTATGCAATGTAACTTGGATTAACACTCTGAAACAATGAAGCTGAGGAAGCTTCTGGGTTGGTGAATGCATCCACATGCCAGAAGGATGGTGCATCGCAACTCTGAAGGGACAGAGGCTCTGGCACTAGGGACCCTTCCAGACCTCGCCCTATGCACCTTTCCATCTGACTGTACACTGTCTCCCTTGTAATAACTGTAACCCTAAGTATAGCTCTTTCCTGAGCTCTGTCATTCTAGCAAATTACTGAACCTGAAGAGGGCATTGTGGGAAACCTCGAATCTGTACTCAGCCGGGCATAAATGCAGGTAGTCTGGAGACCCCAGTTGAGGCTGGTGTCTAAAATGGAAGTAGCCATATCGGAACTCAGCCCTGTGCTAATTCTGTGTAGTTAGTTGGATTGAATTGTTGGACATCCAGTTGGTGTTGAAGAGTTGCTGTTGTTAGGAAAAAAACCACACAATTTCATATCCTAATTGCAGCATCATTTTCCATCTCCACTACTGCCATCCTAGTCCAATCCATCTTCATCTTCAGAAGAGTAGGGTTTTTCTTGTCTTTTTTTTTTTTTGCTGTACGCGGGCCTCTCACTGTTGTGGCCTCTCCCGTTGCGGAGCACAGGCTCCAGACGCGCAGGCTCAGCGGCCATGGCTCACGGGCCCAGCCGCTCCGCGGCATGTGGGATCTTCCCGGACCGGGGCACGAACCCGTGTCCCCTGCGTCGGCAGGCGGACTCTCAATCACTGCGCCACCAGGGAAGCCCCAGCAGAGTAGGTTTTTAAAACCATAAATCACATGTCGATCCTTGCTTAAAATCACCCATTGGCTTCCTATCACACTTAGAATAAAACCCACCTTATTCTGACTTTCAAGGCGCTTTTTGATCTGGCCCCTGTCTACTTATAGAGCCTTATCACATAGCACACCCCCTTGCTCATTAAGTACTTTGCATGTGGCCTTCTTTCTGGTTTTCTGTTTATTAAATCCACCCATCCTTTTCTTGCCTTAGGGCTTTTGTACTTATCCCTTCCTTGGCCAGACATGTCCCACCCTCTTCTAAACAGACCAATCTGAGCAATTATTCAGAATTCATCTCAGGGATGCCTTCCTGGAAGACCCAAACAGGGCTAGAGATTCACCATCACAACAGGCTATTCTAATTCTCTGCATTCCTTATCAGCATCTGACACATTTCGTGTTTATTTACCTGTTTATTGTCTGACTACACCCACTAGAATGTTAGCCCCATGAGAAATGGGACCTTGTGTGTCTCATCTATCACTCCATCCCCAGTGTCCAGAACACAACCTGACCCACTTGGCCAATTGATGAATATTTGAAGATGGAACAGTTGAAGAAAATCATCACCTGGGAGGTGAGAGACCAGCAGCTTCCAGATGGCTGAATTAATTTACCAGAGAACAGCAGAGACCATGATTACGCTCAGCTAATTCCGTGCTATAGCGTCTGACTGGTGATAAGGACTCATGGTGGGAATGAAACTATTTCAAGGATTTGCCCCATAAAAAGGGCTGTTTATTAGAGCATCAGCAAATCCAAATAACTTCTCATAAAACCAAACAAGGTATGGCAAGTTTCCCTGCTCTGTGCAGGGCTTTCACTGCCATTCCCTTGAAAACCATTCATTCTACAAGGCAGTCAGCCTCCTGTCTCCTTGAGCACTGATTGCTCTGCTTGGTCAGGCAGTTTAGGAATACGCACCACTCTCGACAGGGCTAAGGAAAGGGAGAGAGGGGATCTGGCTTTTCAAAAGTACAATGCTTTGGGCTTCCCTGGTGGCGCAGTGGTTGAGAGTCCGCCTGCCGATGCAGGGGACAACGGGCTCGGGCCTCGGTCCGGGAAGATCCCACATGCCGCGGAGCGGCTGGGCCCGTGAGCCATGGCCGCTGAGCCTGCGCGTCCAGAGCCTGTGCTCCGCAATGGGAGAGGCCACAGCAGTGAGATGCCCGCGTACGGAAAAAAAAAAAAAAAAAAAAAAAAGTACAATGCTTTCTGATAAAAGAAAACACAGAAAATCATTCCAAGAGAGGAGGACGCTTCTAAAAGGAACTGAACGCCTCACCTGAGACCAGAAAGGGGCTTCAGCCCTCTGGCCTCTGTCTTCTCCAGGAAGCCTAGAATCCCACAGTTCCAGTGGGAAATGGAGAATTTTGGCATTTCCTGAATCTGGCATTTGAAATGGTAAAGGCTTTTCCTAAAGAGACAGACTCTGTCTGCCATCCACTGGGTCTGCTTGCTATTCAAAAGCAAAGATACAACTCTGTGCATATTGAAAGTTAAAAGTGTGATTTCCAACAGACTCACAGACTTAGAAAACAAACTTATGGTTACCAAAGGAGAAAGGGGGAGGGGGATAAATTAAGAGGTTGGGATGAACACATACACACTACTACATGTAAAATCGATAACCAACAAGGACCTACTGTAGAGCACAGGGAACTCTGCTCAATACTCTGTAATAACCTATATGGGAAAAGAATCTGAAAAAGAATAGATTATGTATATGTATAACTAAAATCACTTTGCTGTACACCTGAAAGTACTAACACAACATTGTAAACCAAATAGACTCCAATGTAAAATTTAAAAATTGTTTTAAGTTTAAAAAGAATAAAAGTATTGTTTCTATATAAATATGGTCAGCAGCTAATGCCAACAGTTAATGCTCTATGTTTCATTTCTGCAATGAATTAATATATCTCACAAGGAACATTTCAAATTTCCAAAGGGAAATCCATGTACAGTGTGAAGTTAAATCCCTTAAAATGGCTATAGCCTTCTATCCAGGAATTCCACAACCAGAAATTCATCCTGAAGGGAAATAATTAGGAATGCAGACAAAGATTTATTCTCAAGAGTGTTCAAAATCCTAAACACTATAAACAACTGAAATGTCCATCAATAGGAAAATAGTAAAGAAAAATTATTGAATGTGCCTATAATGGAATGTTATATAGTCATTAAAAATTATATTTATGGGGAATTTTTAAAAGCACACTTGTGCTTTAAAAAATTCCACCATGCTTCCAAAATGTTCACAGAAACACTGGTTAATCCCAAAGAATTTCTGGATTTCCTCATATCCTTCCCTTTTGCTTTTTCTTTTTTGAAATCAGAGATGTTGACATGGCATGGTGTTAAAATGGGAGAAGTTGGTTGGAGAGGAGTGTAATCCTCATGTAAACCTATCTCCACACAAGAAAACAAACTCTCCTGTCCTTAAAAGAGAGGAAGTATGGCAGAGTCAGAGTTTTGAATGTTTCTTCCTGCCATCTGCTGATCCTATACTTTCAAACTATTTCTTAAGCAGCTGGTAGACAGCTGTTTCAGCCTCCTAAGATAGGTAGAGAAGAAAGGAATGAAAAAAGAATAAAAGCTTTACAGAGGTGTCCACACCATCCAGACTCTAGGTACCGTTGTGCTCTTTAACATTATGGAGACAATCATGTTAATATCCTCAGATGGAGGCTCACCTGGCTGCATAAATGCTCACGTCAGTCTATGTCGTAGTTGGCTCTCTAGGGCCTATGCGTTCATCAGTTGGGGCTGATTTAAATTACCTGCATACGATGGGGAGTTTGAGGGTAGGGTATCAGTTAGGAACCACGTGAATGAAGGATTAGGAGAAGCCAGGAAGATAAAGGATTTTGAGACAGAACAAAAACATCTCATCAATCTCCCAGAAAGTCACCAGAAAAACCTGCTGCTCAAGCAAAGTGAAATTTACTAGACTTCCTGTAATAAAGGAGAACAATCCTTGACAGAGCCTAGCAGTGTCTCAAAATGGGGAAATTGGAGAAACATACACATGGAGTTTTGAGGCCTGAGTGATTTTAAGGTGGGTCTTGCAAGGTGGGGAACCAGCTGGGATTGGCTAAGACTTATAACATAAGAGCTGTGGGTTGATGGGAAGGTAAGGTGAGTGTTTTGAAGAGAACCCTGGAGAGCAAGCTACCTCGTGGTTCACAGTCTTGTCTTCCAGGAACCAGTATTCTCTGGAGCAAATAACTAAGATTTCTTGTTTTGTTTTGTTTTGTTGGTGGTGTTACATACAGATAGGAAAGTATACCTGACCCCAGTTAACACAGGGACAGGCAAATATGTTTGGGCCCAGTATTGTTTAACACAGAGACAGGAAAAGATATTGGTTTCAGTCCTTACAGGAATGTAATGCAGTTACTGGCTGTGTAATTGACACCCTCTCCTGCTACTTCCCTGGAAATCTTTGGTAAAATTTACATTGCTTACTAAGGCTTTTCAAAGTGCTTTCATTGGTGGCTATAAGGAAACATGGTTTGTGCAGTTATCAGAGATTACCTTTGAACACTTGCTTTCATGGGGAGTTAGACTGTGTCTTCTGTCACCATATATCCGTGCCTAACACAATACTCAGCATATATAGCAAATAAATGGGTACAAGAGAGGAAACATACAAGCATATTATAAGTGATGCAAGCAATAAGAATGCAAAGGAAAGAATGCTTGCAGGGTTTGAAAGTAGTAAGAGAAGATTGCAAGTATGTAAAATCATCATTGATATAGGGCAGGATGAAGATGAAGAAGAAAGACAGTGAGGTAAGCGTAAGCAACGTCTGTCCCTGTAGCCATAGGACCATTCTAAGGTGAGTGCAGAGGCTGTGTTGGAGAAATCAGAATGTTTGGACAATGAAGCTAGACCTCAGGCCTCTGGAAACCAGACAGGTAGATATAAACTGAGAGTCTATGAATAGCAATGTCCAGATAAGAGGAATTTCTTTTAAGAAAACAAACATAACTAAAGTATTTGGTTTGGAATAGAGAGAAAAGAGGAAAAATCCAGTCAGAAGGCACAAGGTAAATAAGCCTTGGATGAAAGCATCCACAAAGTTAAGGGAAAAGGGAGTATAGATACAGGATAT